GAGAGCAGCCTTCCCTAACAGAGGAAGACTATTCTTTGGTCAAGAGTATATATGTAGCCAGGCGGTGGTGACACACCCCTTTAATCCCAGCACTCAGTAGGCAGAGGCATGCAGATCTCTGTGAGTTCAAGACTGGCCTGGTCTACAGAGCAAGATCCAGGACAGGCACCAAAGCTATACAGAGAAACCCTGTCTCAAAAAAAAAAAAAAAAAAAAAGTACATGAGGCCTTAGGGAGTACCCTTGAACAAAAATGTCAGTTCAGAAATAGCTAAAATAATTGGGGGAAGTTAACCCCTTAAAATGAGGCCTTGGAGGGACCATAATTGTATAAAGATTACATAAAGCATCACATTGAGAATAGGCCAATTAATACTGGTACTCAAGTCCATTTACTCATGGCTGAAAAGGGGGCCAAAGGAACTAGGACATGTTGTTGGGTCAAGAAAAAACTATGTATTTGTAATACCAACAAAATGAGAAGAGACTAGCACTGTGAAGGGGGGAAACATTGCAACTCAGTCCAGGTTTCAAGCTCCTTTTTATCCTCAGGAAAGGAGAAATAAATGCCTGGAGACTGAGGCACCCTTCCAGTGGTCTGAAACGGAGTATGGCAAAACCTAGATGCTGGCACACACATAAGCATAGAATCAAGACATTTCTGTGAACCTTGAAAATATTTTAGTTGTCTTTGCCTTGACATCTTCAACCTGAGAAGGAGGACACACCAGATTGAGGAAGTTTCTATGCATTTCTTGTGCAGCCAACATGACTACGTGCTGAGTTGAGCAGAAAGCAGACCCAAAAGTTAAGCTAGCAGAAGAGACAGACACAATGGGAACACAGAAGTGACAAGCTTTTGTAAAACCTTGTTTTAGTCACTGTTTGTAAGCTCAAATGAAGAATCAGTCCTTTCAGTGAAAGTGGCCTTCGTGTCCCTGAAAAGTAACTTAAGCAATTTTTATCATCAAAATGCACACGTCAGAGGTGTTATTTACAGCCACGCTAGTGGGAGACTCATATTATTCAACAGCGTGACCTTCAAATGTAGTGACTTTTCCCCCAAGAGTTTTAAATGAGCCTTTATTTTTCTCTAATGGGAGTCCAGAGATCATCAGACAGTGGAAGAATTTTCTTTTTTTTTTTAACTTTCTTTTTATTTATTCTTTGTGTCTTTCACATCACATACCTCCATCCCATTCATCTCCCCATCCCTTTGTATCTGACCTCTGCCCTTGCAAACTCCCCTCAAAAAACAAAATAAAATTTGAGGTAAAAGAAAAAAGAAAAATCTCCACATGGAAGCTGTAGTGTGATACAGTGAGTCATGCAGTCTATCCTTTTGTCCATATATCTTTACTTGTGTGCGTTCATTGCAAAGAGTCATTGGTCTGGTTCGAGGCCTCTGGCATACCATCTATACTGGGCCCTCACTGGGACTCCTTGGATATCCTGTTGTTGCCCTGTGTCGTGGAGATACTGCCGCTTTGGGTCTGCAGGACTAGCTAGCCCCTTCACATGCTCCAGCAGATCATAGATGGGGTGGATGTTGTGGGTGGGTCAACTCAGAGCCCTGGTTCTGGGCCTGACTAGTTGCAGGGTTGGTCTGTTCGCCAACTCTCCCCCATCCTCACCACCAGGGTGAGCTCTCTGGCATTGCCTCAGCTAGTTCACCCTATGCGGCAATGATCAAGGAGAGATGTCCCTGCCTTGCCCTTTGCCCCTGCCACCTGCGGCAGAGGAGGGATCTGACCCTCCCTCTTACCAGCTGTAACACTCTAGAAAGCAGGCCCTGTACCTCATCTGGGCGGCACAGTAGAGCTGACCCTGTTGACAGGGGTGTGGGTAAACAGCCCTGAGAATGTGAGCTTGGGAGATCTGGCCCCACCCCTCATCTGCCATATGGCAGCATGGGCAAGGGAGAGACGCGCTCCACCTCCCTGCACCTGGCTGCCTGTGGCAGTTGGGAGAGCTGGCCCTTAGGTCCTAAGAGCTGAGGAGCTGTCATCAGCTGCAGACACAGGAGAGTGGCCGCTGCAGGTTGTCTGGGCAACACAGTAGAGCTGGCCCTGATGGTGTAGGTGTGGGAGAGCAGACCCTGAGGAAGTGAAAGCAGGAGAAATGTAGTGACTTTTAAAGTCAACTAAAAGCAAGTTAAACCTAGGGGTTTCTTTAGGTTTTCCTTTGGTTAAAATATTTGTAGTAAATTCTTCTCCACCACCAGTTCTTCCCTTCTCTTTTGGACTAGGTCTCCCTGTGTAAATCTGGCTGATCCAGAACTCTCTATGTAGATAGACCAGGCTAGTCTCAAACTCACAGAGGGATGCCTGCCTCTGTGTCTGCCTCTACCTCTGCTTCCCAAGTGCTGGGATTAAAGAGCTGCACCACCACACCTGAGTAAAAATACTTAAAGTAAAAGAAGAGTTAGAGTATTGCTAGTACTATACCATGCTACTATAATTACCCCTACTACATTAGAGTTAACTTACAGAACACTTTCTATATGCTAATCACTATGCCAGGTGCTTTACATATACTGACTTCATTGACTTTTTAACTGCTCTTACCAATCCTACAGGGTAGGTACTATTATTGTGTACAATTTTGTACATGAAGAAGTCAAGCCACAGAAAAGCCTACTAAAGATTGCTCACTATATCTCACAGATGGCAACGGGAAATAATCAAACAAAAATTCAAGCAGTTTCCATGGTATCAAGGGCACCTACTAAGGCAAGTGCAAATAATCAGTTACTGTGTAAACTTAGAATGTCAAAAATTAAATGGAACGGCTTTTAGGCTGTGCAGTGTTCACAGGATGTAAGGGGAATAATGACAGGAATGAAAAAAAATAATGAAATTGAAATTCTCTAAAAAAGAAACTGCACAAATGAAAAACAAACCCTTCATGATAGACTAAAGAAAGCACAGGTAAACTTGATTTTAAAGACACACAGCACAGAAAAAAAAGAGGAAGATCCAAACAATTTTGGATAAGATATACAAGTAAATTAGCTTGTATTTCAATACAAACTAAATTTACAGTAAAGCAATAAAATTGGATATTTCACATAATGAATTTCTGTTCAGAAACATAGTAAATAACCAAGGTTTTGACAAAAAGTAAATTCCAAAGTCCTCACAGATCTGATATTTCAAATATGAATTTATGTTCAGAAACATCTCAAAATTGCTTAGGTTTAGGGGAAAAAAATAGATTTCAGAACCCTCACAGATCTGATGCCTACTTACCCTGGAAGTGTAAAACAGAAAAAAAGAGTTCCCTCCCTGGAAGAAAAATGTGCCTGAGGAAGTCGTATTCATGCTTTTTAGATAGGTGAGAAGTAGGCTTAAGGTTAAAGATCAGAAAAAGGCACAGGCCAAAACATGTACCATTTGTGATGCCAACAAACTATGTAGACATGATTTTAATCCTTCTAAGTATGTGGTCAGCAGAATTATTACTTAGTTTAATGCACAATGTCCTATCTGCTGCATCTATCTTTTGGGAATCCAGCTATCTCAAGACCCAAATATTTTTTTGTTTAACAAATTAATTTAAGCCTTTTCAACCACAAAACCAAGAGCTGGCTATTAAGAAGTTAGGGTTTCTGTGACATCTATTTTTTCCACTATGAATAGTAACTATTGAATGATGGTGATATATAGAGAGGGGAGAATAATACCATATTATGCACCAAGTGCTCTCCCACTTGACATAATAAAAAAGTTCTATTGACTATTTTATATGTAGATGGACACATGAGTGTTTTGATTTATGTTAATCAAAGTACAGAGTCATTAGATTTACATACTTTACAGAATTAAATCTTTCTAGAGGTGTAGAATCAGACGATTATTAATTTATCCCAGAGTTTCTATTTATGACATAGTTGAGGGGCTCAAAAATTAAAAAATGGGTTGAAAAGAAAAAAATGAAAGATTAACTATCATGGAAATGACAGGATATTTAAAATGTGATGTGATGGGAATGTGGGTTTAACACAAAAATTAGTATTTGAGTGGTATTTTTTTTTAGATTTATTTTATCTTATGTGTGGGTTTTACTGTATGTGTCCGTGCCTGCAGTCATTATGGATGATTGTGAGCTATGTGGGTGCTGGGAATCACACTCAGGTCCTCTGCAAGAACAAGTGCTCTTAAGTGCTTAGCCATCTCTCCACTGTCCTTGAAAAGTTTCGTTTTGTTTTGTTGAAAGAATTTTGCTCTGTAGTTCTGACTGGCCTGGAACTAGCTTTGGAGGACAGGCTGCCCTCCAATTTAAGGCAACCCTATTGTCTCTATACCCTGAGAACTGGGATTACAGGCGTCTGTCACGTTGTCTGTCCTGACCATGTTACCTTGATTTGTGGGGGCGAAACAGTGAAATTTCAGTGCAGGGTCTAAAGGACGGGGGAAATCTGAAGCCTCAGTAACTGGGGGAGAGTGAAAAGTGAGACTGAGACATAACATTGGAGATGCAGCACGGCAAAGGTAATCCTGGGGAGTCAGATGCTCGTCGTCTCTGGTAACCAAGAAAAGGCAAATAAAAGGGGGGGGTGGGGGTAAGTGAAAATTCCCATTGTGTCTGAGGTCAAGAAATTCTGGCAAGCGCTGGCAAATGGTCGCCAAAGTGGTTACTAGGGATCTGAGCCCGGCAGTGACGCGCGCCCCTCACGTGACCAGGAGCCTATGTCTGCCCAAGTCCCTCTCATCCCAGTCCTTTTTTGCCTGTCCAGACACCGTCTTTCTATTACCCTTTGGTCGAGAAGGAAAGCAGAAGTAAGTAAGTTCCCTGGATCCTCTAGATTTGGTGATTGTCAGAGGTGCCTTGTAACCAGTGGGATCGTACCTGCATGGCAGAATCCCGATCTTCCACTACGCTCCAGCCCCGCCCCGCCCCCCCCGCCCACAATTTCGGTGCAGAAAATGGTGGTCTTGGGAGTGGGGTGGGGTACAAAGGGCGATGCTCTATGTGAGCTTGAGGAAGGTGAACCCCAAGGGAGCTGTCTTGGGGAGGTTAGCTGGTCCCCACAAAAAGGGGTGTGCGTCACCGGGTCTGTTTCTCCTCCCCCATCCCCGCCCCCTTCCCTGTCTGGCGACGATCTGTCCCTTTGCTGGTGTCACCCGGGCGCCTCACGGGCCGGAGGTTGGGGTAAGGGTGGGGTAAGGGCGGGCGGTGGGACAGGCTCGGGGTCTGAGACGGAACACGGAGGGGATCAGTCTGCGGACTTCACTGCTCCGCCCCGGTCTCTGCAGGAGAGGCCTTGTGGCAAGGCCTGCTGGGAAAAATGGTGGTCTTTCGGGAAGGAGGGGGCCGCTCCGCAGCTGCGGGCGGGAGAGCGCGGGAGCCTCTGAGTAAGCTAAGGTTTAAAGACACCCGCCTCGATCCGGGAAAGGCAGGGATTGAAACTCATAACCAGGGTGTTGATCCAGCCCGCCAAGTATTGTGACTCTTGTCTGCTTTTTCTTGTCTCCAGAGTAACTGCTTGAAGAAGAAAATTCTCAGCATGGAAAACTCATGCAAAGAAAATGAAGTACAACCACAGAGCACTCCAAAGACCGACAAAGAGCAGCCTCCGGTGGAGCAGTGTCCTGAAAATCAGTGTTCTGAGGAGGAGCAGTCCTCAGAGGATCTGTCCTCAGAGGAGCAGTCCTCAGAGGAGGAGTTCTTTCCTGAAGAGCTTCTGCCTGAGCTGCTGCCAGAGATGCTGCTGTCAGAAGATCGTCCTCCGCAGGAGTGCCTCTCACAGAAGAACCTGTTCGAGGACCGCCCTCCCATGGAGCAACCTCCCTGTGGGGTGGGCAAACACAAGCTAGAGGAGGGAAGTTTCAAAGAAAGGCTGGCCCGTTCCCGCCCTCAATTTAGAGGAGACATCCATGGCAGAAATTTAAGTAATGAAGAAATGATACAGGCAGCTGATGAGTTGGAAGAGATGAAGAGAGTACGAAATAAACTGATGATAATGCATTGGAAGGCAAAACGGAGCCGCCCTTACCCCATTTAATGTGTTCCACCTTTCTTTGTTTTGCTTGATAATAGCATTGCTACCTGGACTCATGTTCTTCCATGCCTCTTCCCTTCTTAGTTGTAATTTTTTGTGCAGTTTTATTTCAGGTGTTTGACTTGTAACTGGCACAGGATTGCTTTTATTATTTTTTCTTTAACCGTTTAAAATCTGAGTCCAATCCATTTGCATGTAAAAATATACATTATATATGTGAAGTGATAAAAGCAAAAGGTATATACATAGCATTCCCATTTTTGTAAAAGGAAAACACATTTATATATTAATATGCAAAGAAAAGCTAAAAAACTATATACTTAAAGGCTAACATTGGTTATCTGTGTGGTAAAGATAATAGGTGATTTTTATATTTTTTAAATTTTGCTTTATCTAAAGTCTCACTTTTCATGATGAATACATTTTATTTATGTTGCATAACAAACAATATAATAAAAATGTGAAGCAATTCTAAAAAATAAAACTTCATAATTAGCTTATAAAGACAATGTGATCCTTAATAAATATTTATCAGAACTTAAAAGTTAATCCTATGTTTCTTCTGAATCTCTTTTCTAAGATTTATTTTATTTTATGTGTATGGGTGTTTTGCCTACATGTAGGTACATAGGTACACTGGGTATAGGCCTGGGAATGGAGTTATGGATGGTTGTAAACTACCATGTGGTGCTGGGATTTGAACCCAAGGCCTCTGGAAGAGCAACAAACACTCTTAACCACTGAGCCATCTCTCTAGCCCCTCTTCTGAATCTTTTAAGCAGAAATATAAATGAGACTTTTATTACCAGTAGGAAAAACATTTTCCAAGGTAAATAGTAGTAAGAAAAACCTTACAGAGCTGCTGATAAACTAGATGAGAAAAAAAATCCTTTGAGCTCTGGTTTGTTTGTTTGGTTGGTTGGTTGGTTTTTTGCTTGTTTGTTAGTTTTTTTTTTTTGGTAGGTTCTCCCAACCTCAATAGGTTCCTTTGAAACAGGAAATTAACAGCTAAAGAAATCACTCTTGTGCTCACCCAAAATTTCTGTGAGATTCCAAATGAGTGCCACATTCTGTTCATGGTCTGCTGTACTTGCATGCATTGCCATAGCTACCAGGCACGGCTGCCCCTTCCAGGTCCTGATGTTTCCAATGGACCCCGCTCTGCTAATGTCCCCATGGTGTAATACCTGTTTTGCAATCCCTAGTGAGCCACAACTGTAGTGTGTCTCCTCTAGATCTTTAGAGAATGTCCTTTTCTCCAGCTTTATTATTAAACATACTCAAGTGTATATAGTCACAATGCTGTTAAGACTTTAATGTAGTAAAAGAATGCTCAAAATTATTTTTTACAATGCTGGGCAAAATAGCCTTTTCCATGATTTTTCTCTTAAAGTCTCTTGTTTCTTCCTGGACTCAAACATGAGGTAACGGAGACCTGGGATAGGAAGCCAAATTTGAAAGATGGACACCATGCTGTATAATTAGAATAGAAACTCCCTTTCTAAATATCCAAGGTTAACTGTAATTTTGATTGCCTTATCGACCTTAGAGTGGGTTTTTCTCTCAGGGGCTTCTTGCAGAATTGCCTTATCTATTCAGTTAACTGGTATAAAGTAAAGAGGAAGATAAAAGTTAATACCCATGTGATAGTAAATGAAACCTGAAATCCCACTCTTGGGAAGTTGAGGAGGAGGGTTGCCACAAGATTGGGCTACACAGTGAGTTCTAGGGCAGTATGGGCTACAGAGTGAGTCTCTATGTAAAAAAAAAAAAATCAAAAACAAAGTCCCCAAACAAAAACAGAATTAAAAAAAAAAAACTTGAGCTCAAACTAGGACATTCCCATCTCCAATATTCCATAGCAATGACATGCACACAAACGTTCTCACTCTGTAGTAAAACACCAGAATTTATTTCTCCTAAGTGTAACATCATATTCATTGGCTAACCATTCTCCATTACCTTTCATACTCCATCTCATTAAAACTCTTTAAAGTTAAAAAAAAAATGAGCATCACACTGGCTATGGTGTCACATGCCCTTAATACCAGCACACAGGAGGCAGAGGCAGGCAGATCTCTGGGAGTTCAAGACCATTCTGCTCTACATAGTGAGTTCTGAGCTAACCAGAGCTACACAGTGAGATCTTGTCTCAAAAAAATGTGAATAACACACAATATTAAATGATACATGAAAAACTGGAATAAAACATTGAAAATATATGTTATATATTTACAGATATATTTTAAAAACAAACACTTCAACTTACCTACTGGAAAATGGTCCAATAAGTTAATCCACATGAGAAGCAATGTGCTCTGGATACAAACACATTCATAGATGATATTGTGTAAGTATAACATACATACATATAAATATATATGGATCTAATAGGATCTAACTGACACTGCATGAAAGATGCCGCATCCTGTATTTCATTCATTGAATTTTTTTTTTTATGAACAGCACAGTAGAGCTGACCCTAGTGGGGAGAGGGGGTGAACCAGTCAAGAACCTGAGCTTGAAAGATCTGGCCCTGCCCTTCATCTGCCATATGATGGTGTGGGTGGGGGAGAGATGCCCCTCGTCACCTGTGGCAGGTGGGAGAGCTGTCCCTGCCCCTTACCAGCTACAGCACTCGGGAGAGTGGCCCCTGCACCTCACCTGGACAACACAGTAGAGTTGGCCCTGAAGGTGTAGGTGTGAGAAAAACTGACCCTGACAGAACGAAAGCAGAACTGGCCCAGTCCCTTGCTCATAACTCCAAGGGGTGAACTAGTCAGAGCAATGCGGGAGAGCTCATCTTGGAAGTGAGGACCAGGGAGAGCTGGCAGGCTGACCAACTCTGTGACTATCCAGGCCCAGAAACAGTTATGAGTTGACCCACCCCAACATTTATCTATGATCTGCTGGAGTACATGAAGAGAACAATCCTGCAGACCCAAAGCTGCAGGATCTCCACAACACAGGGTAACAACAGGACATCCAAGAGAAGTCCCAGTGAGGGCCCAGCATCAATAGTGTAGCAGAAACCAGAGGCCCTGAACCAGACCAATGTCTCTTTGCAATGAACACTTGCACATAAAGATGTATGGGTAAAAGGGTTTACTGTGTGACTCACTGTGTCACACTACAGCTTCCATGATAAGACTGAGTTTTCCTTTTTTCTCTTAAAATTTTTTCCCTTAAATTTTATTTTTTTTCTCTTAAATTTTATGGGGAGGGGCTGCAGGAGTAGAGGGCAGATTCAAAGGGATGGGGAAATGAATGGGATCAAGATGCATCATGTGAAAAACAAAAGGAATAAATAAAAAATAAATATTTTTTAGCCTGATAATATGTCCTGAATAATCTACACATTACATATGAACTCAATATAGATATAAATGATGTACATGTTGCATACTCTGAACATATTATAATTTATTCCCTAATGATGGAGACTTAGGTAGTTTCTGTATTTTACTATTACAAATATGCCACAGTGGCCATTCATTTTTAAAATTTGTATTAAATTTGTTCTTTGACAATTTTAAACAGACATAAAATGTATTGATTACTGCAACTCTCCATCCCTTTTAGTCTCATTTCCACCTCTATTAATTATCCATCCTTCCTCCACTTTTTTCCCCAAACATTTCTTTTCCTTTTTTGAGGACCATAGAGTTTAACCAGGATCATCAGTGTTACCTTCAGCATGGAACTATCCATTGGGGCCTCATGAGCTCATCAGGCACAGTGAGTGAAGACAATGACTTCCCATCACCAGAATCCTTCAGTAGCCAAGAGTTTATCAGGGAAGGGTAGAGCCCCATGGGCCTTTCCCTGGTCCATGAGCAACTGTTGACAGACCTAGTACTATGTAGACCTATAGCATATAACCACAGATGTTGTGAAGTCATGTTTGAAATTGGCTGTGCCATCCCCAGAAGAGAGCATTTCACAAACATTCTTATTTCAGAAGTTTTTGATTTTGTTTTTCAAGATGTGGTTTCTCTGTTTAGCCCTGGCTGTCCTGGAACTCGCTCTGTAGACCAGGCTGGCCTCAAACTCAGAGATCCACCTGCCTCTGCCTCCTGAGTGCTGGGATTAAAAGCGTGTACCACCAGGCCTAGCCTTTCAGAGATTTTTTTTTAAAAAGACTATTTTGGAATATTTGATTTATTATTTCTTGTCTCTGTCTTTCTCTGCCTCTATGTCTCTCTCTCTGTCTCTGTCTCTCTTGTGTGTGTGCACCCATATGTGTGAAGGTGCTCACAGAGGGCAGAAGAGGACTTGGAACCTCCAAAGCTGGATTTATAGTCAGTTGTGCATCACCTGACATAGATGCAGGGAACTAAATTCAGGTCCTCTGGAAGAAAAGCAACTTCTCTTAACTTCTGAGTCATCTCTCTAGCATCAATATCTTCCAGCTCTTATGTTCTTTTTGACCTTCGTCCTAGATGATCACTGACCATTAGAAGGGGCTGTTATAAATGTTCTGTTTAAGGCTGAGCACTCAACTACTAATTATTCTCAGTACTTTGAGCATACAGGTGTTATTTACCACCACACAATAGCCAGTCCTGATCATGCTTCCTTGTATTTTTGTTTCTCTCTGTATAATACACACACACACACACACACACACACACACACACACACACACACATATATATATATATATGTATATATATATATATATATATATATAATGTAACTAGAGTAGAATAATTGCATTTAGGGTACACTGACAAATTAGTCTCTGTAATAGACTAGTGGCATCCAAATCCTTTCTAGCTGGTCTAGTCTACTCTTGCCTTTGAGGAGAAACTTCCATGCCTTTGCTCAGGCTCCTGCTTCTATCTAGAATGTCCTCACCTCTTCTGTTCAGCAAAATCCCATTTAGTCAGTCCCAAAGGATATTCCTAACAACCACCAAACCAAGCTGTTAGGTGTTCTTTCCTGGTGCTTCTAAAGTACCAAGCAACTTAAACTCTTATTGTTGTTGTTGTTGTTATGTGTTAAAATTATTTCAGGCATCTACTTCCTCTGTAAATCACTGAACTTCTCAAAGAAACTTGTATCTTGCTCCCCAGCATATCCAGGACATAGTGCAGAACAAATATTCACTAAATATAATCTCCTTGAACCAGTCTGATGTTACCTCCTTTACTCCAACCTCTGCTACCTACACCTAAAGCTGAGGTTGGTTTGTTCTGGGTCCTTTAGTGAGTTCCTGGTATAAAGAGTAGCTGCATAATGTGCTAGAGCACAGCAATGAAAGCTAGCCTGGAGCAAGTAACTTTCTGGATTCCAGGAAAGGTGCTAGCAGTCTGTCTGGAGGCTGCTTCCATACAGATCAAGTGATGCTCCTGATATCTTACAAAAGCTGAGTCCTCTCAACCAATTCATAGAAGCCAATTATTGGAGAGGCATGGTGGTAGTACAAAATAAACTTTAGTATGATGAGCTAAGTGATCAGAACTGGCTGCATGATCTTCTCAAGGAACACACCAACTCCAAGTGATGATCTTATATAGGAACTTCAAATTGCTTATTTTTATTTC